CTATCTGGCACTGTTCTACAGTTACAGGAAGCAAGAATTTGAGTAATTTTCAAAATTGTGTATTTTTCAATGTAGTTTAATACTGTATTTTTCTTTTTCTTTTTTTTTTGTGTGAGGAAGATCGGCCCTGAGCTAACATCTGCCAATCCTCCTCTTTTTGCTGAGGAAGCCTGGCCCTGGGCTAACATCTGTGCCTATCTTCCTCCACTTTATATGGGACGCCGCCACAGCATGGCTTGACAAGCGGTGCGTCGGTGTGCGCCTGGGATCGAACCGGCGAACCCCAGGCCGCCGCAGCAGAGTGCACGCACTTAACCGCTTGCGCCACTGGGCCGGCCCCAATCGTGTATTTTTCAATGCAGTTTAATATTAAAATACAGAGGCATTAAATCAACTGCCTATTTTCATTGTATGTGTCAACTTTGTGGTGGTAACAGTGCAAAATACACTCTCTCACTTCCTGACTAAAGGCAGCAACATTAACGCTGTCGAGTTTCCATGAGCAAAAATGGTTTCATCCTCAGAGACCATTCATTCATGGCACACAGCGTGTTTAAATGTTTTCCACCTGGGTCACTTGTTTCTACTCTGTCTTTTGGTTTATTCAAACATGGTGTAAACTAGTCGATTTTAGACTGTGGATTATGACTTCTTCTCCCTGATCTCTAGTCAGATTTGAGTTGTCAAAACAGGCTTCCAGTGGGCTGGGCACTGGTCTCAACTCCAAGACAGTCATACTTATTAGAGCAGACCTTTCGTTCCTGCAGAGATCCCCACAACTATGCTTAGTTCTGCGTGGGATGAACAATATTCTGAGGCTCCAGGTCATGGACCAGAGTATGGAGGCGATGCAAAAACCTGGTTCTGTAAAGAATTATGGCTGTTGAGAAGGAACTAGGAGGAAGAGAGGGGAGTGGAGAACTCCCTTCAGGGAGTTGGTGTGGGGCTGGATTCCAGCAATGGCAGAAAAGTAAAGGCTCAGCCCAGTTGAGGTAGTTGGCAATTTAAAGACTCCCATCTCTCCTGGGTGGCAGGGACCTGGAAGAGAGCCTGTGTTCCTCGGTCAGCCTGGCTGAATGCTGACTGTCCTTTCCCTCCATCTGCTGTGTGCTACAGTCTATTCTTTTTCCAACAGGCAAAATTATACTTGTTGCTAGGCATGTGACTGGCAGGGAAGTTCCAAGTCTCTGCAGAGTGGCGAGCAGAGAACTCAATGAAGGAAGAGAGAGGGGTAAGCTTGGGGATGGCACATCATGGCTCTCCGTTTGAAAAGGAAGGGCCCACTGCAGGCAGCCTGCAAGTTGAGCTTTTTAATTCTGCCTTTACCTTTCCTAAGAATACGAGCTCACAGATAAGAAATTATTAAAGGAAAATATATTTCACACTTGTGATTAACACAGGAGATGAACAATAATGTGGAGATACACAGAAGGGGAAAAATGTAAACTATGTTTCCAGGATACGTGTGTGTATCCACTAAAAGTCTGAAGCTGTGATATACATACCACTTTGAAATGTGACTCTCAAAGAAAGTGCGACGATTCGGAGATCAGAGCTAAATGACACACAGTTAATATGAAATTCAAAGGACTCATTTCCCATTTCTACAAAGTAAGCTTGAAATTGCATCTTTAATGTGCTCTGTGAACTTCCAAGCGTGAGATGCAATCGACAACAGATGCTACCTTACCATGCTCTCCTACCACGGATCCCTTTTCCTCTTAAGAGCAGCTCACAGGATCACCGGGAAATGTTTAATCAGAAAATATCTTAAAGCCCTAAAATGCTATGATTTTAGAAGGAGTCCAAATTTTTAAAGACAAATTAATATGCTAAAGAAAAATAGTCTTTCAGGCTCCCAAACACTTTAAAACAAATCTTATAGGTACCTATTAAACCATCTACTATAGGGAACTAATAACTGAGATGAGGGAAGTTGAGATTGAAGGTGTACAAGCTACTCTCCTTATTAGCTGATCACAGCTCCAAAATTCATGATTCACTGCTCAGCCCAACAAGCTCATTTGTCAACTTAATGTATTTCCGCAACTTATTTCAATTTCATGAAAAAATTATTTTTCTCTTTTGTCAAAAGTGCTTTATAGGTAAAGTGGACTCGCTTGCATCAATGAAATGCAAGAACTGACAGAAAGATAATCCAATGTTGTACATTAGACATAATTGCGAGAGTGGCAAGAATGCAAGAAATCCCTGTGTGTACAAGCATGTTTAACTATAAAAAAGACTGTTTTTAAGTCATCTCAGAAACAGATCCTATGGTGATTTTCTGTAAAAAAGCATATGAGAAAGCAAAGGATAAAGGCTGCCTGTATTAATATTTATGGCCATATACACTCTTCTAGGGGAGTACTAGGCACTCGTGGCTGTGCTCTAGAGTTACCTGTGGAACATTATAAAATACGGGTGCCAAGGCCTTGCTCCAGAAAATTCTGATCCAGTAAGCCTGAAGTTGAGTCCAGCTCTCTGTATATTTGTAAAGTTCCAATGGTGATTTTGACATGTAATAAAGGGTGAGATCCACTGTACATCCTGCAGGATGTGGTTGGTGGTGTGGTATGCTACCAGATGCCCTCACTTTGGGACCAAGACAGCCATTTCCTTAGCTGCCAAGAGTGTTTGCTGCTGACTACTTATTCACACTTAAGTCCTCCTCCAGGAATTGTCTTCCAAATTGCCCTCCATAGGCCAAAGGGACTTGCCTCACCCAAGGTCACGCCCATTCCCTGGAGGCAGCCTGCATCCAATGACCCGTCCATGGGAAGAGAGGAAAACAAAGGCCCATCCCACTTGCTTTAATTTGGGGCAATCCTGAGGAGGTCTTTAATCCTAACTATCCATGAAAGGAGTTACGTGGTGTGGGGGGAGGCACTGGGTTAGAGGACCAAAGATTTGGGCTCAAAACCATTTTTGCCTATTGCTGTTAGTGGCCTAGACAAGTCACATGATGTCTTGAACCTCAGTTCTTAATTCTAAAAATGGGGACAGCAACAACAACAATAATAACAACAACAAAAATTATATGATCTACTTTTAAGAGTAGTTGTGAAGATTCAGTAAGAGTCTATAGATATAAATTGTGTATCATAAAAAGTGCTGGTAGGTATTGTATAAAATGTTCTTACATCTAAAAATCCCCAGATATTATGTAAAAAAAAAAGATATCAAAGTACCACATGACACTGGAAGTCAAAAAATGTTTTAATCCCCAAATGTGTATGTACTTGACATTCTCCACTGCATGTGTTCAATGAATTGAAATAAAAAATGTAATGGTTTTGTTTGTTTGTTTGTTTTGCTGCTTTTACAGAGAGCTAAAATTAGTCATAAAAAGAAATAGTCCGAGGTGCCAAGACATTTCAGTGGGGAAACAACAGTCTTTTCAACAAATGGTGCTGGACCACATGCAAAAAGAAATGAAGCTGGACCTTTACCTCACACCATATACAAAAAATAACTCAAAATGAATCATTACCTAAACGTAAGAGCTACAACTATAAAATTCTTAGAAGAAAACAAGGCAAATCTTCATGATCTTGGATTAGGCAGTGATTTCTTGGCTATGACACCAAAGCACAAGCAATAATGGAAAAAATAGATAAATTGGATTTTATCAAAATTAAAAACTTTTGTGTTTCAAAGGACACAATCTTTCAAGAAAGTAAAAAAGAAAACACACTGAATGGGAGAAAATATTTGCAAATCATAAATCTGATACGAGATTTGTACCCAGCATATATAAAGAACTCTTACAATTCAACAATAAAGACAACCTCATTGAAAAATGGGCAAAAGATTTGAATAGACATTTCTACAAAGGTAATACATGAATGGCCAATAAACAAGCAAAAATATACTCAACATCCTTAGTCATTAGGGAAATTCAAATCAAAACCACAATGAGATACCATTTCACACCTATTAGGATGGCTATAATAAAGAAGAGAGGTAATAATAAGTATTGGTGATGGTATAAAGAAATGGAGCTCTCATACACTATGGGAATGTAAAATGGTATAGCTGCTTTTGAAGACATTCTGGCAGTTCCTCAAAATGTTAAACATAGAGTTACCACATGATCCAGCAATTCCACCCCTAGAGTAATGAAAACATGTCTGCATAATGACTAGTACAGAATGCTTACAGTAGCACTATTCACATAGCCAAAAAGTGGAAACAACCCAAATATCTACCATTTGATGAATGGATAAGTAAAATGTTCGTATCCAGATAATGGAATATTACCTGACAATAGGAATAAATGAAATACTGGTATATTCTATAACATAGATGAATCTTGAGAACATTAAACTAAGTGAAAGAAGTCAGTCACAAAAGAACACATATTGTACGATACGAAATGCCCAGACTAGGCAAATCTACAGAAAAAGAAAGCAGACTAGTGGTTTCCAGGGGCTACGGGAAGTGGAAACGGGTAGTGACTGCTAATAGGTAGGGGGTTTCTTTCTGGGGTGATGAAAATGTTCTAAAATTGATTAGGTGATAGTTGCACAACTCTGTGAATATCCTAAAAATCACTTAATTGTACAGTTTAATGGGTGGATTGTATGGTATGTGAACTATATCTTAATAAAAGTGTTATTAAAAAAATAATCCCATGAGCTGAAGAAATAAGACAGAGGGTAATAAGAATTTAAATATAACCCATGGAAAAATATTATGACTATTTTGCTTTGATTTTTAAGTGAACACAGCTCACTGTCTGCCATTAAATAAATCTCAAATCTAGTGCGTGGGAAAGAGACTGGCCAGGAAAAAATGACAGTGCCTGGAATAATTCCCTCAAAAATTCTCAGAAACTGACTCAGATTTAAGGAATCAATAACATACTGCTAGCTGAACGAAATTCACGCCTGCTAGGAAAAGACAGTATTTTAAAAATGGGCTTTCAAAAATCATTTCAGCAGTAAATACAAGAACATTTTCAGTAAGGACTCCTACCCAAATGCCAAAATCATTACCTGTGAGCTTTCAGTATCCTCTGGGCAATGGCGTCACCTATCTTGTTGAACACAACTTTGTCATCAGCGCAGCTTATGAAAAACTGGTTCTATGAGAAATAAATAAGATAATCACATAAGTCTTTCTTATCTTAGTAGTATATATATAAGGAAAATGTGGTATATAACAAAAACAATGTTAATATTTTTAAGAAAACGTTTCACATAGCAGACATGTTCTGATACTGAAATCACTTAGGAAAGTCAATGATACTGAGAATAGAAGCCTCCCCTCGCTCTGGGTCTCATGCATTTCTCAGCAATATCACATATAACATCTTAGTCGAGTGGAAGCTAAACTATTATTTCATCATGCGAATTCCTCGTAGGTTACATTCTTAGAACGGTAGGAACATTCCAAATTTAATCAACAGGGAAATTAGGTTTTCAGGTTCACACATTGTGTAAATGCATATAATTAAAATTCTATATTGGCAAACACTCTACCTCATGCCCAGTTTACTTTTTTAACAGGGTGGGTGGCAGAATCCTGGTCTAATTTTCTGCACTCTTTCTCCATTATTTCCTAGTATCTGCTTTTGCCTTATCTTGTTTGTTTGGGTCTCTCATTATTCCTGAACGTTTATTTTAAGGAGCTTCAAATCTCTTTTGTAAGAGTGTTGCATGAATATAAATAAACCAATAAAATGGAAAAAGAAATACTTTTCTTTTTTTCTTTAAGTACTTCTGCTATTCACGTATCTATAAAATAAAACATTCTTGAAAACTCAACTGAAAAACCTGGGTACACCATCATTAACATAATGGTATAAAAGATTTAGTTGCTGGGGGCCGGCTCCGTGGCTTAGCGGTTAAGTGTGCGCGCTCTGATGCTGGCAGCCCGGGTTCGGATCCCGGGCACACCCCAAGGCACCACTTCTCCGTCCAACGCGAGGCCGAGTCCCACGTACAGCAACTAGAAGGATGTGAACCTATGACATACAACTATCTACTGGGGCTTTGGGGGGAAAAAAAATGAATAAATAAAATCTTTAAAAAAAAAAAAAAAGATTTAGTTGCTGCATAAAAGGATGTTAAAAATTAGGTACAAATATTATGACTATTACATGTTCTATTTATACCCCTTGATATAATACACCTGTAATTTATAAGTATAATCATCACAAAGTAAGATTTGCTAATCATCTTAAGGTAAAGAGACATATAGGCAACGACTCAAAATATGGTTATCATCGCTTTGCAACATTATCATTTTTACTACTATACACATTTTTACACTTAAGTGTATAAATCTGTAAACCGCCTCCTGAAGACAAACGTACAAGAATGACATCATATAGAAACTCATTTGAGAATATGCTTCCCCTTAGGGCATCAATCAAAATCTCAGTGGCAACCAAACCACGTTGTTTTCTTGAATTCATATTACAGAGAAACCTAGCATTCCTCAGGAACTGTAAACACTCACTGTCCTCACGTCATGACCTTTCCTTCTCCTTTTTCAAGGAGAGCAGAGTGAACACAGACCACTGACCTCGGCTAGAGGCTTGTCAACTAGGTTTGTGTCCATAGCTATGTGTATCGACATGGCACTACTGACCTCATTTAGCACTGTGGTAGCATTAATAAGAAAAGCTGACTTAATGCTACTAAAAGAGATAAAGCAAAAGGATTCTGGGTAATGGATGAGCCAGCCATTAACATCTTACATTATTCTGGTATAACTGTTGAAATTAATAATACTCATAGTATTAGTATTACTAAGCTCCAGACTTTATTCAGAGTTCACTAATTTTTCCACTAATATCCTTTTTCTGGTGCATGGTCTCATCCAGGACACCACATTGCATTTAGCATGCTAATATTTTTAATCAGCTTCTCTTTCTCCAGGCCTGTGAAATAAATAAAGCTCCAATTCCTTCCAACCTGCCTTTCATGAACAGTCACCGCATGGAAGGGGAGAGGGCCAGGACTCAAGGGGAAGGAAAATAGGGCTAGAATGGTTTTCCCCAGCTAACCCATCTCCCTCCATACATTTTAAAGCAGTCAATGGAAAAGAAAAGATTAAAATAAAGAAGGGAGAAGTGCTCTGATTTATTTTTCCATTATCATGACTTTTAATTTTTTTAGGATTTTCCAAGTGCTCTGAGCTAGCTTGATATCTACTTTGAAGTGCAATTAAGGTTCCCAAACTAAACCCAGTGTCCACAGATTTTCTCCTATTCTCTGAACGTGAACTCTGGGATCTGAAAAAGCTTTACAACGAACAGTGTTCACACAGGACTGAAGAAGGTGGTCCCTGCCCTCAATATTCGCCCCTCTTCGTTATCCATGTTCCTCTTCCTGCACGCTCCCTACTCTAATATCCCAAACCAGTGGCATCCAGTGGTCTCCATTTTAGCAGCTTACCCCTGTGTGCGCTCTCCTGAAGCAGCACGTGACTCCACTTAACACCCTCCAACTCAAGCCAAATCAAAACTTACTCATCCATGCTGGGGCATTCCTGGCCAATAATATTACAGTGAGTTGATGCATTTTAATAACAAGGATTTGGGGGACTCCCATGAGAGTCCCGAGTCAATGAAAATGCAAAGGGAATGTCAGGCATGCTGGGGAGGTCAAAATTCAGGTGACCTGAGGCCTCTTCACATCTCAACATACACTGATCAATACAGCAGGTCCCGAGTTTGGGGACCCTGCAGTCTCTGTATGTCATTTACAAGAAGGCAAGTTGTTATACTAATCTACATGAGCAGGACTTACTTCTATATAGATGTAGTGTTTGCTGTTCTCTATCACATGGACGTAAGCAGCGTGGATGGACTCTTCATGGTACTTGATACCGGCAGACCAGTCAGCAGCAGAGCGGAGCAACTACAAGGCAGCAATCAGAAATGAGCAATCAATGGAGGTGATGCCAGATGCATTAACACAATGAGGTCAATCCTTGTTCTTCTAAACTGAATGATTACAGCGGCTTGGGTGTCATGTGTGGACCAAAGGAGAGTAGTGGGGTGGGGAACTGGTCCTTGGACATAATCCATAAGGAAGGAGTCCAGCTAGAAATCAAGTCCTGAATATACTCTCTTCCACCCAGCATTATTTTCATTCAAAACTGGCAACCACAAGGTGTGGATTACACAGAGTATTTCAGAAGTACCTCTTTTGGTGGCTGAGTAGGGAGACCATTTGTACTATTTTTCCCTGATGGTTCCACAATTATGCCAGAATGCCTGTTGTTCTGATGGATGTATTAATAGTACCACTTTTACTCTGAAAAGTGTCCTGGTTTGAACCATATGATATGGTCACCCTCGCTCTGACTTTATAATGTGATTATTCCTTTTTCCACAAATAGATTCATTTAGATATATATAATCTTGATTCTGCCTTTAATTAGCTGTCTGATCCTTGGTGTGTCTCTTCAACTCTCAACTTTCTTGCTCATGCTGCCTCCCTCTACGCAGCCGCTCACCTGCTCCTGCCTGGATTACAATAAGAGCTTCCAGCTGAGACACTTGAGTATATGTTAAATACACTGACGCAGAGTGGGACTGCCTAGTTTCAAAGCTTAGCTCACTCAGCAGCTTTGATCTTGGTCGAGTTTATTAACCTCTTTGTGTCTTAGATTTCTGTTCCGTAAAATTGAGTATCTACTTTATAGGTTGTAGAGAAGATTAAATGAATTACTGTGAAGTGTGCAGAAAGAGGCCTATTACCTAGTAAGTGGGATATAAGTGTTTGCTATTATTAATGGGAACATTAGAGGATGTATTTGAGCTGTGGCGGATCATGTCAGAGACACTGGCTGCAGAGCAGACTGGGGCTGTGCACAGGAGGGTGGACTAGACGACATGGAAGGCTTTTTCAACACTAAGAAGCCATTGGTTGTCATTCTTTTTAGAATTCTAACTAGTCCTGCAGTACGATGTTGGGCATATAGCAGGTACTCAATAAATACTTATTAATTGATTTTCCTTAAGCAATAGCATAACATCACAGAAGAATCACTATAAAACCAGATTTGCTATTCCTGATTTGAAATAAACATTGAAACTAACCCTCATGAGGTCAACTGAAAGTGAAAATAAAAGAATGGCCCAAAATTGTTAGGCATATATCAAGTGATCCAATATGTAATCAGTTTTATATCTGTTACATACAAAAGGTCTGGTAAAATTCTTGCTCTAATCCATAACTTTAAAAATTGCATCTTTAAGGCTAATGAAATTCAAACCTAGTACTGACCAAAATCATTGACTGAGCCATTCTCAAAATGTTATTTCTTTATTCAGTATGAGGTATTTATTACAAAATAGCTCCCCTCAAAGCTCTTCTTTAATTTTATCAGATGAATATGTGCAACGAAGGTGAAAAATTTAATTGGGAACAGGAATAGTCAAATATCTCAAAAGAAAATTCATAAGGAAAATTTAAATAAATATGATCCACATTGGGAAAGGATGTTGATTTCACATCGTCTCTAAGGAACTGCACTATTGTTCATCAGAAGAATAACCAAGGGGGCACAAACGGAAGTTCCAGTTCTTAGTTCTCAAATGTATGTTGAATTTTGTTGCTAAGAGGCATAGCCCTGAAAATGCAGACTACCTTGAGAAGATTCTTATGGCATACATACTGATCTAATTCTATATAACTCTGGAAACAATGCATAAAATTGCAGAGTGTATTGGCAAGATAGGAACTCTGGAGATCTGTGTTATAGTAAGTTGTAGCACTTACTAGCCCTTCCACCTTGAACAAGTCATTTTAATATTATGAGGCTCAGTTTCCTCCACTGTACAGTTGAGATCTCCCTCTCTCTCTCTCACACACACACACACAGACAGCTGCTATGAAGAAAAAAGGGGCATAACAATCACAAAGAGCTATGGTATGTGGCACATAGTAGATATTCGATATATAGAATGTCTACCTGTGTAAAAAGTTATAGGCCAAGTTTATATACCACCTTTGGTGGTAACTTCTTAGTCTTCCTCTCAAATCCAGAAACCTTATACTTTCTGTCCTTTCTCACTCTCAAAATGTGCTCTGATTCAAAGATTTAATAAACTTGTTCACATAACATATAAATTAGGAGTGAAAATAGGTTTCAAGTCTAATTGATTCGAAGTGGCTTCCTGGACACCTATGTTGAAGAGAAGATTCTTGGAACTAGACACACTGGGAAGAAATCTAAGGTTGACGGCCAAAGGCTGCCAAGAAGAGAAAGCACGAAGGTCACATATTTGCTATCTTTCCTGTGAAGGATAATGGTAAATGTTTCCCTTTCTAGAGGCATTTAAATGTTTAAAATAAGTACATTTGTAAGCCAAAAGAACATTTTATTATCAGCCTGAGGTGGAGCATAAGCCAAGTGGGTGGACCTCCTCTGATGCCTAGAAAACCACAGCATGTGGGAGGTCGCCTCCCTCCTGAGGGGGGTCGGCATTATCTATCCCGTCATCTGAGTCCAAATCTATATCATTTTCTCTCAATGAAAACTCATTTAATTTTAAAAAGTCAACATTTTTGGTTAAGTTTGAACATATCTTTTAAGTAATACAGAAAAAAATCTCTTGGGGTTATTATTCATTTACTATGATTCTAATTAGTTAAAATCTATCACCACAAGATAAATTGAAAATATGAATTTCCCCTTTGCCCTGCCTCTACCCCCAAACCACTGAACCCTGAGGTGTGTACAAATCAACTCAACTGCTTGAAATGCTTGATGGTCTAGAAAATTTATAAACAGCCAAGTAAGTCAAATACATTTTGATTGAATTCCTTTTGTTTTAAATTTAAGACCTATTCTCTCGTTTTTCTTAACTGGCCTGACCAACTCGTCTTGCATTTCTGTTTTAAACCAGTGTAATGGAGACAAGCCCAAACTCCTCTTTACACACGCAGAAATGTGGCTTATCTTACTGCCCCAAGTATACTGAGAATCAAATCTAACCTACACTTTTCAAGTCTCAAGTTTGAATACACCATTTTAAAGTATATAAAAAACAGCATATTTTTGATTTCATGTTTTAGCTTCCAAATTGTAACTAGAACCAGTCATTTTCCTTTGTACTGTGTCCTATTTTTTAACTTAAAAGATAGCCTTCTCTTTATCCACAGTCCTAATGCCCTTACATCCAGTGGGCCCTCCTACGGCATCTTCCCCACGTAAGCAGCTTTGTCACCCCCTCCTCCTCTGCCACATGCCTTGCTCAGTGCTTGGAAAACTGTGCCTTTCGTCATTTCAGTGGGTGTTGGTTGACTTGACTCAACAAATCCCACCCTAGAGTTGGGATGAGACCACAGTGGAGTCCTGGGAACACAAGCAACATTCATCTGATAACTGGCAACACTGAATCCAGCTTTCTCTGCAGGTAGGTGTGAGGCTCTATACACCGAATTCACCAACAAGTTATCGAGCACAGCTGTGTCCCATGCACTTTGCCTTTCACTTGGGATAAAAAGAAAAATAAAAAACAGTCCCTGTGCTCATGGAGCCTGAGAGCCTAGTGGGAGAGACAGATGTGTAGACAACTAATTTACAATTCACTAAGCTGTGTGCAGAATCAGAGTTCTTCCCGTATGGATGAGAGTGCAAGCCAGATTTTCACCAGTGGCTATTTCGTCCATTTACCAAATGCATAATATGCAACTGCTTTATGCCAGGCATTTTGTTAGGCTGCAAGAACACAGAGACAACTAGAACAAGGGCCTCATCTTCAGAAGCTCAGGGTCTTTTTTTAGACGAGTCTCGGTCACATGGCACAAGTGGTACGTGAATCTACGAATGCATATGTTCTAGTAGGAGTCTTGGATTACAAATGTGAAAGCAATGAAGTTAGTGTAGCTTGCAGATCCTGCCCAAGGATGCAGTGGTATCCAAATAAGACACAGCAGAGCACACTTGTTAAGATCACGGGCTCTGCAGTCAGTGTGGGTAAGAGGCCTAACTCTGATCTTCACTGCCGTGTGACCTCAGGCATGTTACATAACCTTTCTATGCCTCAATATCTTCATCTGTAAATGGAGATAATAATAACATCTACCTCATAGCATTGCTGTGAGTATTAAACGACTTAATTTATAGCAAGTGCTTAGAACAATGCCTAGCCTGAAATAAGTGCTCAATGAGAGGTAGCAATTGTTATTAGTATCATATTATGCTTGTACAAGGTTCCCATTACCAGAAGGCTCTCCAGCGGAGGAGGGAAGATGCCCATGCCAAAAGTGTTATTAGAGCCACATCCACTGGTAGTTTGTCCCTTCCCAATCCCTAAGCGTATGTGAGATGGGCTGTTAAATTTCACACTGGTTTGAATACTGGCTTTTTACAAAAGGATTGAGAGCTCTGGATTCCAGTTTGGTTTTCTCAGCCTCTCCTATATCCTTAAACTCTTTGGTCAACCTTCAGTGGCCTCAGTTTCCTCAAAAGGGAGACAAAACAGCTGACCTCCCCGTGAGACCCTAAGAACACTGGACACGAAGGTGCATCCACCCGTTTGAGGGTCCCTGATGAGCCTCTGCTTCTTCCCACTGGAGAGGCAGAGACGCGGGGAGACTCTAGTTGGCCTCCGGCCAGGGGCAGTTAGCCTCAGAGTGGGCGACACTCCAGGCTTCACATGTGGGTAGGGCCCGTGCTCATTTGCCCTGTTTTAGTCTCTTGAACTGGAAATTTCCAAAAGGAATTGAAAACCTACTCTCAAACAAAAGTTATCTCTTCGTGACTAGTTGATTACACCCTACAAATTAAACATTATTCAAATCACTAAATAGTTAAATTAAGCACTATAACTGGTTACAAGCATAGGACCACAGCATAATCCTGGTTTGGGCTGCCAGTCCCTCCTCACCAGGGCACAGCCTCA